ATCCTCTATTATCCGGGGTATTATATTGCCATTCTATAAATACCATGGACCAGTTCGTTGCTGTTACTTTGTTTGGCAACGAACCACCATCTCAATCTCTGAACCTGAAACAGAATTTCTCACGAACGTAATTTTGCAATGAATGGACAGTTATTTTTAACACCCTGGCATATGGATTGCAATTTATACGCAGCCATGGTTGCGAGAATTGTGGGGTCTTTATCATGATAGAATGGCGATATAATACACTGAATTATCGAGGTGGTCCAAGAGTGCTGTTTGAAGTGGCATTCTTCAGGCAATGGCGAGGGTTTAATTAACTCCGACGTGAACTTATACGTCCAATTTGACCACTCCAGTAAAACTGAGCAAGACGAATGACTTTGTACTTAGATCTATGTCGATTAGTTTCTAATGGACTCGAAGCGATCTGTGTAAAGATTGATATTGCTTTTATTGCCCATATGTGACATCGACAAATAGCGTCTCTGACAAATGTGGAAACAACGTGAAAAAATAGGGTCAATAGCTTCTTCTGACAAACACTCCCAGAACACTGGGAGCAGCCCGGAAATAGCGTCGAGTCCGCAAAGACATTTAAGTAACAGCAAACTGCGAATTAAGCTCAAATGATATGATATGGTTCATTTTATTAATTAACTTTTGTTATGGAGTGTGAACAAGTAAATGAGATGTTTGCAATGTGAAGATTGTATTCATCTTTCTGACCAAAGATTATTTGATAACCTTCAACAATCATGGCATAATTCAGAAGTATATAAGTTACCTTTTATTATAAGCATTTTAAATCCCTATAGAAACATATCTTACATTCCCCATTCCAGTACATCTGAGAATATGTAAGACTTGTTTCAGATGCACGAGGTTTAAACTTGCAGTTGATTTGGGGAGAAACACAACTGTCCCAAACACTGAACGATCAATGGTAGACCTTCCATTGAAAATGAATTACATGTATTGCTTTTATGGGAACGTTATTCAGCTCTAAGAAGTATATATATTAAAAAGCATATCAAGTCTCAATTGTAAGATCTTTTAATGACATTATTTCATCTGAAAACGTTTATGATGTTTTTAACGTTTATATTTATGTAACGTCAAACGGCTAAGAGAAACTTACTCGATAACGCAGTGGCATGCGTAGTTCATACAACCAAACATTAAGTGTTACAGGCCAATGGCCTTTTAACTGAATAAACTGTCTGTCTAAGAATTACAATATAGCTTAAGCTATTATACAGTAAATGTTGGATTGACAAGGAAGCACATCCATTGAAACTTGACGCGAACCTTAATGACAGCATCAAACACGGAGAATATTTTCAGATTCAGATTCTGATTCAGTGGGTGAGTGAGTGAGTTGGGTTTAACGCCGCTTTTAACATTATTCCAGTTGTATCACGGCGTGTCAGCTTAATGTGGGAGGAAGTGATGCAGGTCTCAGACGTTTACCACTTCGGTGAAACCCTCGAGCACGGGTATGGTGTTGACAAGCCTAGAAACATAATCGAGGCGACCCGGGATTCGAACCCTTAATTATAGGTTTCTGGCGTGACATAGACGACTGGACTACCCTTGCCCCCGATTCTTAATCAGTCTCAGGATCCTTATTACAGTATGAGGCGCTATATGCATATGCTATGCTATATAATGATAATGTTGATCACGATGGACTTAACTGACTTGCCAAACGTATCTAGATGGTGCTTAATGAAAGAAACTTTATCTGTGGAATACAAACAAGCCTACATCTTCATGTCGATAGGCCGCCTCCGTGGTCTAGTGGCACAGCGTCTGCCCGGAGAGCGGAAGGTCCGGGTTCGATCCCCAAAAGACATTGAAAGATGGTTATTGTTATTACCCTGCCTGGCACTAGGCATTAAGGGGCTAAAACGAGTGGTCGCCTCGGTGTCAGTATACAGTGTCTGAGTGGCACACACACACACACACACACACACACACACACACACACACACACACACACACACACACACACACACACACACACACACACACACACACACACACACACACACACACACACACACACAGTACAGTGTCCCAATCCTACGACATAAGTGTCCCTGTCACACATTCAGAGTAAATCCTGGACAAGAGAATGATCATAACGATCAGCTTGACACATTTATATAACCTTTGACTACAGGTTCATCCAAGCAGACAAGGCCGAGAATGTCCGCATCTTTACACCTGGTCAGTTCTGGCCTCAGCCTCAGCCTCCTCTGTTCTGCAGCCGTAGCAAATGTTGTATTTTTAACAGCCACAAAATGATTAGATTTAGAAAGGCCCGGGAGATGATTAAGCGTGCCGTAATAAAAAAAAATGGGGGCACGGGTGGCCCAGTCGTCTAAGGCGCCGTGATTCGCTGTGCAGAGTTGCGTCCCTTGGGCACGGCAGAAACCTATGATTGTGGGTTCGAATCCCGGTTCGGTCCGATTATGTTTCTAGGTTTGTCAACACCATACCCGTGCTCGTGGGTTTCACCGAAGTGGTAAACGTCTGAGACCTGCATCACTTCGGGCTTTCCTCCCACATTAGCGGCTTCATTATGCGAGTCTTTCCGGATCCTGTTAGTCATTGTGCAATATGTGTGGTGTCGTGACCTCGTGTCTGTTAGAATTATGATGCATGTCAATTTTGGAGCCTTTGATCATCATCCATCTGTCGACAAAAGACACCTATTTCCTCGCGCTGAAATATGGTTGTGCAAAGCCTCCGGCAGTCATTAGCATATACTTTGTGGCAATCCCGCCCGACTCGATCTGAATCCAGCATGTGACACTGATTGCGTGGCGCCCTCTGGTGGCGCTGAGTAATGCTAATATCTCTGTACTTAACATCGGACATGCCTCTGACAGCAGTTGGGCCGGGTTTATGCCTTCTTCAGAGCGGAGGGATACATACAAGCCAACGTCAACGTCTGCCGGCCTTAAGCCGTAATTCCATTTCTGGGCTGTGATGAGTTGATGCACGTTGCAGATTCTCACGCCCACGAGGGGGCAAGAAACCTATGATTGTGGGTTCGAATCCCGGTTCGCCCCGATTATGTTTCTAGGTTTGTCAGCACCATACCCGTGCTCGTGGGTTTCACCGAAGTTGTTAACGTCTGAAACCTGCATCACTTCGGGCTTTCCTCCCACATTAAGCTGACACGCCGTGATATAACTGGAATATTGTTAAAAGCGGCGTTAAACCCAACTCACTCATTCACTCACTCACGCCAACGATTAGCGCTCTAGAGTAGGCCCACTATCAGCCATCATTGTCTGCAGACAGACGAGTGTGTTATGGTTGCTGTCCCCGACTCTACTGGGCATGCCCCTAGGTTGCGCTACACTAGTTGAAGATGCACAAGTAGTATGTGTCCCAAGGGTGCAGTGCTCGCCCGATGTGCGGAACACGTGTCTTGAGGCTAGTACCACCCCCCTCTTCAAGAACAGCACACTCTTCAAGTGTCCACGTGTCTAGAGTCTATTACACGTGTGCGCTTCTTCAAGTATAACACCAGCTTCAAGTGTCCACGGCAAGTACAACACAAGCTTCAAGTGTCCACGGCAAGTACAACACAAGCTTCAAGTGTCCACGGCTAGTACAACACAAGCTTCAAGTGTCCACGACAAGTACAACGCAAGCTTCAAGTGTCCACGGCAAGTACTTGAACAACACAAGTTTCAAGTGTCCACGGCAAATACAACACAAGCTTCAAGTGTCCACGGCAAGTACTTGAACAACACAAGCTTCAAGTGTCAACGGCATGTACAACACAAGCTTCAAGTGTCGACGGCAAGTACAGCACAAGCTTCGAGTGTCAAAGGCAAGTACTACACAAACTTTGAGTGTCCACGGCAAGTACAACACAAGCTTCGAGTGTCAAAGGCAAGTACTACACAAACTTTGAGTGTCCACGGCAAGTACAGCACAAGCTTCAAGTGTCATCGACAAGTACAACACAAGCTTCAAGTGTCCACGGCTAGTACAGCACAAGCTTCAAGTGTCATCGACAAGTACAACACAAGCTTCGAGTGTCCACGGCTAGTACAACACAAGCTTCAAGTGTCCACGGCTAGTACAACACAAGCTTCGAATGTCCACGGCAAGTACAGCACAAGCTTCAAGTGTCAAAGGCAAGTACAGCACAAGCTTCAAGTGTCAAAGGCAAGTACAGCACAAGCTTCAAGTGTCCACGGCAAGTACTTGAACAACACAAGTTTCAAGTGTCCACGGCAAGTACAACACAAGCTTCGAGTGTCAAAGGCAAGTACTACACAAACTTTGAGTGTCCACGGCAAGTACAACACAAGCTTCAAGTGTCCACGGCAGGAACAACACAAGCTTCAAGTGTCCACGGCAAGTACAGCACAAGCTTTGAGTGTTTACGGCAAGTACAGCACAAGCTTCAAGTGTCATCGACAAGTACAACACAAGCTTCAAGTGTCCACGGCAAGTACAGCACAAGCTTCAAGTGTCATCGACAAGTACAACACAAGCTTCAAGTGTCCGCGGCTAGTACAGCACAAGCTTCAAGTGTCCACGGCAAGTACAACACAAGCTTAAAGTGTCCACGGCAAGTACAGCACAAGCTTCAAGTGTCCACGGCAAGTACAACACAAGCTTAAAGTGTCCACGGCAGGAACAACACAAGCTTCAAGTGTCCACGGCTAGTACAGCACAAGCTTCAAGTGTCATCGACAAGTACAACACAAGCTTCAAGTGTCTACGGCTAGTACAGCACAAGCTTCAAGTGTCATCGACAAGTACAACACAAGCTTCAAGTGTCCGCGGCTAGTACAGCACAAGCTTCAAGTGTCATCGACAAGTACAACACAAGCTTCAAGTGTCCACGGCTAGTACAGCACAAGCTTCAAGTGTCATCGACAAGTACAACACAAGCTTCAAGTGTCCGCGGCTAGTACAGCACAAGCTTCGAGTGTCCACGGCAAGTACAACACAAGCTTCGAATGTCCACGGCAAGTACAGCACAACCTTCAAGTGTCATCGACAAGTACAACACAAGCTTCAAGCGCCGCGGCTTGTACAGCACAAGCTTCGAGTATCCACGGCAAGTACAACACAAGCTTCGAATGTCCACGGCAAGTACAGCACAAGCTTCAAGTGTCATCGACAAGTACAACACAAGCTTCAAGTGTCCGCGGCTAGTACAGCACAAGCTTCGAGTGGCCAAGGCAAGTACAACACACGCTTCGAATGTCCACGGCAAGTACAGCACAACTTTCAAGTGTCATCGACAAGTACAACACAAGCTTCAAGTGTCCGCGGCTAGTACAGCACAAGCTTCGAGTGTCCACGGCAAGTACAACACAAGCTTCGAATGTCCACGGCAAGTACAGCACAAGCTTCAAGTGTCCACGGCAAGTACAACACAAGCTTAAAGTGTCCACGGCAAGTACAACACAAGCTTTAAGTGTCCACGGCAAGTACAACACAAGCTTAAAGTGTCCACGGCAAGTACAGCACAAGCTTCAAGTGTCCACGGCAAGTACAACACAAGCTTCGAGTGTCCACGGCAAGTACAACACAAGCTTCAAGTGTCCGCGGCTAGTACAGCACAAGCTTCGAGTGTCCACGGCAAGTACAACACAAGCTTCGAATGTCCACGGCAAGTACAGCACAAGCTTCAAGTGTCCACGGCAAGTACAACACAAGCTTAAAGTGTCCACGGCAAGTACAACACAAGCTTCAAGTGTCCACGGCAAGTACAACACAAGCTTAAAGTGTCCACGGCAAGTACAGCACAAGCTTCAAGTGTCCACGGCAAGTACAACACAAGCTTCGAGTGTCCACGGCAAGTACAACACAAGCTTCAAGTGTCCACGACAAGTACAACACAAGCTTCGAATGTCCACGGCAAGTACAACACAAGTTTCAAGTGTCCACGTATCTGAAGTCTATTACACTTGTGCGCTTCTTCAAGTACAACACAAGCTTCAACGGCAAGAACAACACAAGCTTCAAGTGTCCACGGCAAGTACAACACAACCTTCAAGTGTCCTCGTATCTGAAGTATATTACACTTGTGCGCTTCTTCAAGTACAACACAAGCTTCAAGTGTCCACGGCAAGTACAACACAAGCTTCAAGTGTCCACGGCAAGTACAACACAAGCTTCAAGTGTCCACGGCAAGTACAGCACAAGCTTCAAGTGTCCACGGCAAGTACAACACAAGCTTCAAGTGTCCACGGCAAGTACAACACAAGCTTCAAGTGTCCACGGCAAGTACAACACAAGCTTCAAGTGTCCACGGCAAGTATATTGGGCAGGGAGTAGGGTGAGTGTTGCTCATGCTTTATACCGGTTGTTAGCCAGGCCCGAGTATTTACTGGCTACCTTGATATAGTTGCAACATTGCTGACAACATTGACCCATTGACGTCTAGTACCGAGTTGGCCTCGAGTTAAATGTTTTAACACTCGCTGGAACACTGTCATTGCATCGTACACGTCAATCGTAGGAATACAACGTTGCCGATATTCAAGAAGATGCATATTGAGGGACAGAAGATGATCTGGGAATAGATTGTATATGATGTTAGCAGATGCGAAAGCACTTTAATATCCATGTTTACATCAGTACTCATGATGTGTTAACACGTCGTTAACACGAAGTTAGTGTTATGAGGATGCATAAAGATGAAAAGGATTTAAAAAACAATGATATTATAGTGTAAGTTCAAATAGTACTGATGACTTTTTAACACGTCTTTAACACGAAGTTAGTGTTGTTCGGATGCATAAAGATGAAAAGGATTTCAAAACCGATGTTTTTTTAGTGTAAGTACAAACGTGTTTACCATACGTTTTATGCCCATCTGTATAAACACGTTTTATGCCTAAGTAACACGTAACACCTCTCAACTCTGTGAGTACGTGGAGCTTTGCTTTGGCTTCTAGCAATATTTCAGGAACATCACGGCCGGGAGTACTCAGGAAAGTTTCACACTGTAGACGAAATGGCCACAATTCTTCCCCACCACCGCGACCACCTGTGAGTGAGTGAGTGAGTGAGTGAGTGATTGAGAAAACCTAAAGACAAAGGATCCATGAAACCCATAAGGACTTCAGGTATGGTGCTGACAAACCAACACTCATAACCTGTTCTTAACAATATGAAGGTATACGTCCATGACAACAGGAAGGAAACCGTCCATAACAGCAGACGCAATATGTCCATGACTACAAGAAGGAAAATGTCCAAAGCAACAGGAAGGAATGTGCTCAATGCAACAGGAGGAAATGTGTCTAAGGCAACAGGAAGGAATGTGTCCAAGGCAACAGGAAGAAATGTGTCCAAGGCAACAGGAAGGAATGTGTCCAAGGCAGCAGGAAGGACTATGTCCACAACAACAGGAAAGAATGTGTCCAAGGCAACAGAAAGGAATGTGTCCACAACAACAGGAAGGAATGTGTCCAAGGCAACAGAAAGGAATGTGTCCAAGGCAACAGGAAGGACTATGTCCACAACAACAGGAAGGAATGTGTCCAGGGCAGCAGGAAGGACTATGTCCACAACAACAGGAAAGAATGTGTCCAAGGCAACAGAAAGGAATGTGTCCAAGGCAACAGGAAGGACTATGTCCACAACAACAGGAAAGAATGTGTCCAATGCAGCAGGAAGGAATGTGTCCACAACAACAGGAAGGAATGTGTCCAAGGCAACAGAAAGGACTATGTCCACAACAACAGGAAAGAATGTGTCCAAGGCAACAGAAAGGAATGTGTCCACAACAACAGGAAGGAATGTGTCCAAGGCAACAGGAAGGACTATGTCCACAACAACAGGAAAGAATGTGTCCAAGGCAGCAGGAAGGACTATGTCCACAACAACAGGAAAGAATGTGTCCAAGGCAACAGAAAGGAATGTGTCCAAGGCAACAGGAAGGACTATGTCCACAACAACAGGAAGGAATGTGTCCAAGGCAGCAGGAAGGAATGTGTCCACAACAACAGGAAGGAATGTGTCCAAGGCAACAGGAAGGAATGTGTCCACAACAACAGAAAGGAATGTGTCCAAGGCAACAGAAAGGAATGTGTCCACAACAACAGGAAAGAATGTGTCCAAGGCAACAGAAAGGAATGTGTCCAAGGCAACAGGAAGGACTATGTCCACAACAACAGGAAGGAATGTGTCCAAGGCAGCAGGAAGGAATGTGTCCACAACAACAGGAAAGAATGTGTCCAAGGCAACAGAAAGGAATGTGTCCACAACAACAGGAAGGAATGTGTCCAAGGCAACAGAAAGGAATGTGTCCAAGGCAACAGGAAGGACTATGTCCACAACAACAGGAAGGAATGTGTCCAAGGCAACAGAAAGGAATGTGTCCACAACAACAGGAAGGAATGTGTCCAAGGCAACAGGAAGGAATGTGTCCAGGGCAGCAGGAAGGACTATGTCCACAACAACAGGAAAGAATGTGTCCAAGGCAACAGGAAGGAATGTGTCCACAACAACAGGAAGGAATGTGTCCAAGGCAGCAGGAAGGACTATGTCCACAACAACAGGAAGGAATGTGTCCAAGGCAACAGAAAGGAATGTGTCCACAACAACAGGAAGGAATGTGTCCAAGGCAACAGAAAGGAATGTGTCCAAGGCAACAGGAAGGACTATGTCCACAACAACAGGAAGGAATGTGTCCAAGGCAACAGAAAGGAATGTGTCCAAGGCAACAGGAAGGACTATGTCCACAACAACAGGAAGGAATGTGTCCAAGGCAACAGAAAGGAATGTGTCCACAACAACAGGAAGGAATGTGTCCAAGGCAACAGGAAGGAATGTGTCCAGGGCAGCAGGAAGGACTATGTCCACAACAACAGGAAAGAATGTGTCCAAGGCAACAGGAAGGAATGTGTCCACAACAACAGGAAGGAATGTGTCCAAGGCAGCAGGAAGGACTATGTCCACAACAACAGGAAGGAATGTGTCCAAGGCAACAGAAAGGAATGTGTCCACAACAACAGGAAGGAATGTGTCCAAGGCAACAGAAAGGAATGTGTCCAAGGCAACAGGAAGGACTATGTCCACAACAACAGGAAGGAATGTGTCCAAGGCAACAGGAAGGAATGTGTCCAAGGCAACAGAAAGGAATTTGTCCACAACAACAGGAAGGAATGTGTCCAAGGCAACAGAAAGGAATGTGTCCAAGGCAACAGGAAGGACTATGTCCACAACAACAGGAAGGAATGTGTCCAAGGCAACAGGAAGGAATGTGTCCAAGGCAACGGGAAGAAATGTGTCCAAGGCAACAGGAAGGAATGTGTCCACAACAACAGGAAGGAATGTGTCCAAGGCAACAGGAAGGAATGTGTCCACAACAACAGGAAGGAATGTGTCCAAGGCAACAGAAAGGAATGTGTCCACAACAACAGGAAGGAATGTGTCCAAGGCAACAGAAAGGAATGTGTCCAAGGCAACAGGAAGGACTATGTCCACAACAACAGGAAGGAATGTGTCCAAGGCAACAGGAAGGAATGTGTCCAAGGCAACGGGAAGAAATGTGTCCAAGGCAACAGGAAGGAATGTGTCCACAACAACAGGAAGGAATGTGTCCAAGGCAACAGGAAGGAATGTGTCCACAACAACAGGAAGGAATGTGTCCAAGGCAACAGAAAGGAATGTGTCCACAACAACAGGAAGGAATGTGTCCAAGGCAACAGAAAGGAATGTGTCCAAGGCAACAGGAAGGACTATGTCCACAACAACAGGAAGGAATGTGTCCAAGGCAACAGGAAGGAATGTGTCCAAGGCAACGGGAAGAAATGTGTCCAGGGCAACAAGAAGGAATGTGTCCCAGGCAACAAGAAGGAACGTGTCCAAGGCAACAAGAAGGAATGTGTCCCAGGCAACTAGAAGGACTATGTCCACAACATCAGGAAGGAATGTGTCCACAACAACGGGAAGGAATGTGTCCGATGCAACAAGAAGGAATGTGTCCAAGGCAACATGGAGGAATATGTCAGTGACAACAGGAAAGGAAGTATCCAGGGCAACAGGAAGGAATGTGTCCGATGCAACAAGAAGGAATGTGTCCAAGGCAACATGGAGGAATATGTCAGTGACAACAGGAAAGGAAGTATCCAGGGCAACAGGAAGGAATGTGTCCAAGGCAACAAGAAGGAATGTGTCCAAGGCAACAGGAAGGAATGTGTCCAAGGCAACAGGAAGGAATGTGTCCGATGCAACAAGAAGGAATGTGTCCAAGGCAACATGGAGGAATATGTCAGTGACAACAGGAAAGGAAGTATCCAGGGCAACAGGAAGGAATGTGTCCAAGGCAACAGGAAGGAATGTGTCCAAGGCAACAAAAAGGAATGTGTCCCAGGCAACAAGAAGGAATGTGTCCAAGGCAACAAGAAGGAATGTGTCCCAGGCAACTAGAAGGACTATGTCCACAACAACAAGAAGGAATGTGTCGAAGGTAACAGTAAGGAATGTTTCCAAGGCAACCAGAAGGAATGTGTCCAAGGCATCAGGAAGGAATGTGTCCGATGCAACAAGAAGGAATGTGTCCAAGGCAACATGGAGGAATATGTCAGTGACAACAGGAAAGGAAGTATCCAGGGCAACAGGAAGGAATGTGTCCAAGGCAACAGGAAGGAATGTGTCCAAGGCAACAAAAAGGAATGTGTCCCAGGCAACAAGAAGGAATGTGTCCAAGGCAACAAGAAGGAATGTGTCCAAGGCAACGAGAAGGACTATGTCCACAACAACAGGAAGGAATGTGTCCAAGGCAACAAGAAGGAATGTGTCCAAGGCATCAGGAAGGAATGTGTCCGATGCAACAAGAAGGAATGTGTCCAAGGCAACATGGAGGAATATGTCAGTGACAACAGGAAAGGAAGTATCCAGGGCAACAGGAAGGAATGTGTCCCAGGCAACAGGAAGGAATGTGTCCAAGGCAACAAAAAGGAATGTGTCCCAGGCAACAAGAAGGAATGTGTCCAAGGCAACAAGAAGGAATGTGTCCAAGGCAACGAGAAGGACTATGTCCACAACAACAGGAAGGAATGTGTCCAAGGCAACAAGAAGGAATGTGTCCAAGGCATCAGGAAGGAATGTGTCCAAGGCAACAAGAAGGAATGTGTCCAAGGCAACAAAAAGAAATGCGTCCAAGGCAACATGGAGGAATATGTCAGTGACAACAGGAAGGAATATTTCCAAGGCAACAGGAAGGAATGTGTCCAAGACAACAGGAAGGAATGTGTCCAAGGCAACAGGACGGGATATATCCATGGCAACCAACGCCGGAAACCTGTAGATCAGGGGTCCGCACTGATTATGTTTTTAAGTTTGTCTACGCTATGCCCGTGCTCGTGAGTTCCCCAAAACGTTACACGTCTGAGACGTCAATATGTGCTTTCCTCCCACATCAAGCTGGCACGCTATGATACATGTGGAGTAACGTTCAAAGCATCGTTAAACCAAATTCACTCAAACGCACGCTCATTTCAACATTTCGTCAATCAGAACAGTTTGCCCGCACTCCAAACAGAGTACGTCAAATTAATCTCACGGACCCACTTGGAAGTGCATTGTTACAAACGTGCACAAACACTTGATACGTAAAGAAGGTATGCATATATGTTGCACACATGTAATCTGGTGGTAATAAACCGCAATTTGGTGTACCCTTCAAACAGCTGACCTTGGTGTTTTAATATAAGTCTGATGGTTGACCTTGGGTTGACCTTGTGTTTTTAGGATTGAATTGTCTCTAATTGGGAGACTGCACCACTCTGTGTGTGGCAGCGGGCATGAAGAGGCATTGCAGATACCTGGCATTGGCTGACTCAACAAAAAACATACAAGGTGTCAGGGTAAAACGTACCTAATTCTGCTTCTTCTTCACTCTTTCTTTTTGCTGTGACCTTTAGAAATCCTACATTGACGACTATTACCACTGACGACTGCACCGCCATACCCCCCCAGAATGGTTCAATCCCGATAGAAAAAATCAGATTGTTGGATCCAAAATACATACCGAGTGGAAAAGGAAATTGGTTTTCTGATCAGGGAGTGAGTTTGTAAGGCCATATTGGATCAATGTATATTCATGTATGTTCTGTGTGAGTGTTTATTCATGTAAGCTCCGAGTGAATATATATTCATGTATATTCTATGTATACGTCATAATAAAATATATTGCAATGATGTATAAACAGTATTGTAATATTTAACATGCTTTTATCTGTATCCCATCCGGCTGTTAAACTGTGTTGGTGTATCAATTGTGTATACTATCTGAGTGTATATATTGTATATTAATGAAAGCTGTATAAACTGTAAGGTTGAGTATTGTGTGTGATTCTTTCCCTCGTGGTCTACCATTGCATGTTTCTTTTGCCTTTATGTTGAGGTGAAATGGGGTTTAAGGTTGTATTAATATTGTGCATGCACGTGTGTGTTGGTTGTTTTTGTTTTGATTTATATGTGTGTGTCTGTCTGTCTGTCTGTGTCTGGATTAATGCATGTTTTATAGTGCCAGCCCACTGACATACCATGAAACAGTTTAACGGGAAAGCAATTTACAAGTACTGTAAACTACGCTTATAACGAACTGACGGATATAACGAACTTATTTTTAAACCCGACCATTTGTTGTATGTATGCTTATAAAGAACTACGGTTATTACGAACTACAATTAGTGGTCCCCTCGAGCTTGTTATAACCGTAGTCTACTGTACCTTATTTTAAACGTCTCTTGGTATGACGCGGCCACTGATTGAACTAGCGACCTTCCGCTCTCCGGGCAAACGCTCTATCCTCGAGACCACGGAGTCGGCCCCATTTCCTATTTGTCTTTACGTATTGTTCCGTACCTTTTCAATAAATACTCGTGTGTACGTATCCTAACATACAGTGTATGGCTCTATATAGTACCGCTCTCTGCGAATGCTTCACCAAGCACCCTGTAAAAACCTTCAAAAATATCACCCCCATTTCATATTTGTAAAAGATTACCAAAACGTCTCACATTTTCATCACGCGCAAATCCATCATACACTTAAATAGCTGGAACGAGAAATTCAATTGATTTCCTCCTTGAGCGGACATCGGTACAGAAATAATCTCGGCACAAACATACACGAAGGTCGACATTTGTGTTGTTTAAGCATCCGATACACGAGAGAGTAACGGTCGACTTAAACAATTTCCTGTTCTTTATGCAGTCCTAATTTAGGGATATCGACCAGGAGGACCTGATGGACAGATGAATTAAACCAGCTCGAGCTGAGTCACGTGAGATCAACACGTGGAATTCCGTACTTTGAACCTGATTCCCAAATTTAAGACCGTTTAAGCCTCGAAAGGCTTTCCTCGTGGGGTTTAATCGATGCTATCAGCTGATTGAAATCAAAGAAAATCACCATCAAGCTTTAACACCCTATTCGACATTTCTCAAGTCTCGTTAGGTTTTTCTCGAGTTATTGGTCGTGTGTTATCTTGCCGAACAGGCGTAGCACGAGACACAATTCATGATTACACAGGAATTAAAACGTTCATAAATCAGCTGTGCTGAAGTACAGGAGAGGTCAGCAGGGGCAGATGTTTGATTTTTACTCCCCAGCAGTTGGTGTTCGTCAAGGAGACTCACTCTGTCTGTATATTTTTAACCCTGCATGACGGAGTAAGGCGAAGAGGCATATTAGAAGCTGTGGTTTACATGAAGACCTAACGGACTTTTATTTTTATTCTTTAAGTGCGACGTTTCGGTGTATATGCCAGTGCCTTTGTCAAATACCTTGATCCACAAATGTTGGTTGGTTGGTTGGTTGGTTGGTTTGTTGTTTAACGCCGCACTCATCAATATTCCAGCTATATGACGGCGGTCTGTAAATAATCGAGTCTGGACCAGACAATCCAGTGATTGATATCATGAGCAGCCACCCACACCTGGTGTGATGACACGCATCAACCAAGTCACTGAGTCTGACAACCCGATCCATCTTAGCGCTTCTTTCGATCAGCTGAGGTTGTTGGGGACCTAGTCTAACCTGGAATCCCCCAATGGAGTCGTCATGTCGAGTATCCAGATTGTATGCTCTTTAATGTGTGAAGTACATTCTTCTTGGGGTATGTCTTGAACAATTCTATTTAAGGATTGACTGTGTATGAATACATACTGTGGCGTGTTCAGGTGATCATTTAATTTATGCACATAACTTGACACGCCTACACAGTCAGTAGCCAAGCAACGGAGAGTAGGATCAAAACTATGTTCACAGGACCTGTCAATTAAGGCAAGAGCCGAGAACAGGCAACAGTCAGACTGTAACGAACCGGAAGAAATATGTCCGGGAGAATGTGGCTGTTTCAAATGACATGGTCAGTTACCGTCAGATTCAAACAAAACTTCCCTGAAAACGGGAAAACACAGTTGGAAAAATGCTAGTTAGAAATGGAACCCGAACACATGAAAGTTGAACCGAGGCGAGCGGGGGAAAAACCCAGGGCGATCGAGCCTGCACGTTTGCTGTTTTATTTCTTCTCGGCCTTCGGTCTCAAAGAATTGTTTGGACAATAAATATGCATGAATTTCGCTTAATGTCCTGTGCATGATGATACACGCGAGCAGAAAGGGAATTCCCTCGACTGTAATAGTGGGATTCCCCGGCAATACAATAAAAGTAGTCCGCCTCGGTGGGCGTGGCTTAATGTTTTACATTCATTGGGAAATGAATGCTATAACATGTGACCAATTCAGCTAATCAGAATGCAGCAATTTCAATGAACACAACGAAAATGTAATTATAAGGGCTTAAATGAAATGCACTCACTTTTAAGACGGAGGCTTTTTCAAATTTTGCTACAGAATCATATGGCTGGTTTGAAGGTGTTGTTTTGAAGC